TACTTCTTGCAGTGATTGTATCTTGCTTGTATTGTGTTACATAGATTTTATTTTTTTTTTAATTCTTGTTTGTTATTGGATAAAGAATTTTAAAAATTACTATTTTATTTAGATAAAGTTATGTTCTCAGTTACAATATTGGAAAACTTGCTGAGATAAAGTGGTGGAATTTATTAATATCTATGTCAAGGTGCAGTTGTTTTGTCATCAGTTATTTTGTACTTCGCCTGTGTACTTTTCAGGCTGAGTTTGCATTCCAGCAAGTAACAGCATAGTGCTTTGCGACTTGCTGTGTTTCTAGCATGCTGTTTTGTCCCTTTGTTTTACTTATGGAACCACAGAATGTAAGTGGAGTATCACAGGGGGATCTTTGGAGAGCTTACCGTTCATTGCTTTAAAATTGAAAATTATGTTTTGGGAACTCCCTTTTTCCCTCCTGATTTAGGAGATTTGATTATATGTCAGCCATACCGTTAGCAGTTCCGCAATTGAGAATTTACTGTATTTCCCATTGGGCTTTCTCAAGAATGATTCTTTTGAGCCAAAAGGCTGACCTGAGATGCTAAGTTATTATCTAGGATCATTGTCATTAAGGATCATAGGATCACATAAGCTGAAAAAGACCTTAGGAGGTCTCTAGTCTAACCTCCTGCTCAAAGCAGGATCAGCTTTGTGGCCAGATTGCCCAGGACTTTATCCATTTGAGCCTTCACACCCTACAAGGACAGAGACGAGGCAATCTTGCTTGACTGTCCTCAGAATCAAAATGCTTTTCTTTATATTCCATCTTAACCTCTGTTGTTTCAACTTATGCAAGTTATTCCTTGTCCTCCTGCCGTGCACCAGTGTGAAGAGCCTGGCTATCATCTTGATACACACCCCATAGGCACCCCAAAGCCTTCCCTTTGCCAAACTGATCAAGCCCAGCTTCCCCAGACTCTTCCCACGTGGAAAGTGCTCCAGCCTTGACCATCTTGGTGGCCTCTGCTAAGCTCTTTCCAGTTACACAATGTCTCATGTACTGGGGCGACCAAAACTGGATGCAGTCTGTCTATCACCTGTTAATCCATTTGCTTGAGAGGTCAACTGGATTGTAGGTTAAACAAAATTATGTTGACCACTTTTCATAAACAGGGCTTGACTTCTTACAGGAATGTTGTGGTCATTCCGTTGCCATTCTGAATGTCCTGATTTGCAATGGAAATTGTTTCATGCTTCATAACAATAGTTATTTTTAAACACCACCACCACCATTTATACGATGTTTCTGATAGTTCCACTGTTACAGCCGGGTGACAGAAGACCCTGCAGGACCCCGATGTAATGGTGTAGATTGGTGCAGTGCCTAGATTTTTCCCTGTCAGTCAGATTTCAGGGATTCTGTGAAAATTATTATCCTGGGTTTTGTTTTGTAACTTTATGAAACTTGAAGAGTTCTGGATTGACTAATCTACTCTTTCTGCTAAAATATAATTTCATAAAAATAAACAATAGGACAGAGCAGGGCAGAAAACTTTAACTTTCTAGAAGGATTGCTTATAGGAAGCTGTTAGCTTGAAAATCTTTCTCTCCAGTAGTTTCATTTCTGAATGTCATCTCTTTAAAAATCAGCATTAATATCTGGGTGGGGGGGTTTTGTTTCATTTGTTTTGGGATTTTTTTTAAAGATTTCTAGGAATTGTTTTCTTCATGGTATATACAGCTGTCTAAGTTAAAAAATAAACATTACTCCCCATCCCCCAGACTCTCTCCAAAAAAGCAAGATCATTATTTTGTGAAAGTCCTTATTGTTTACAGTGATAGAAAAAAAAGTGTAAAAGATTTAGGAGACTTCTTTTTTTCAGTGACAGCTGTGTGCTGAATACATGTGATTTGAGATGGTTAGGAAAGCTCTTGGTCATTGAATGCATAGACTGTCTACCTCCTTTACCAAAAACAGAACAACAAAAAAGGGCATTCTTCTGATTTTTCAAACATCTCATCATATCCAAATCTGCATCTCAGAATCTGGCTTCATCTTTTTCTTCCCCAAAACACAGTTAATCAAAACATAGATGGTAGTTGCTTCTGTTTAAAGCTGTAGCTGCTGTTTCTGACAAATACAAGCTTTACTGAAAGAAGCTTCAGTCTTTTTGTATAAATAGATAAGAGATGCAACGATGGGTGTCGTCAGCATATTTTCAGGATTTTTTTGGTTTTGTTATTTCCTAGACTTCCTTTAAATTACTTTGAAATCATGAAGGTATTTAAAGAACAGAAACACCAGAAGAATTGGAAACTATGAAGAATGTCATTCTGTCTTTGTAGGAAGATACAGGTGTCTATCCATTCAGGCTTCGATCACAACAGCCCACTGCACACATACCTTATTGCAACCCATCAAGTACAAATTGCATTTTTCTAAATGGTAGAGAGATGATTTCCAGCAGAAACCTTCAGGATATTCCATGTCTGTTTCTGTTGAGGGTGTATTTTCATTATTTGGTGAACAATGTAAGTGGATTGGTTAATCCTGAAATTCTGTTAGTATTCAGTTTCTGAAAATGTATGACAGGTGTGCAAATGATGTTCTAAATTTTGACAAATGCTAAACATGAGTTGGTTTTGATCTTTTGCATAGTTTTCATATTTAAAGTCTTAATTATGTATTAATACTATTGTTTTCAAAGGACTTTTATATTTCACAGCTCTGAAATTTAGTCACACTTGTGTGAATCTCTACATTGTTGCTGAGAAGAGCTTTACTGTTGTGTAGCAATGGAACTTTGACAGGGCAGGTGCATGCATATACCACTGCTCCTAGATGTAGAATGAATGTGTAGTGCAAAAATGCACATTTACTGAAGAAGGTGCTTTCCCTTTCTAGTAATAGTGTCCCCAAATATTTTGTTTATCTTTTCTGGCCTATGATATCCACACTGTATATACAGACGAAGTATTAAGAAGTAATTCTATTACTTGGGTCTTATTGCTACCCATATTGCCTTTCACAGAAAAAAATAGGCAATATTCAAATTTGGTTTTGCAGTAATTTCAGACATAGAAGAAGAATAACAAAATTTTCTTAAATAGAACAGGTAAGGCTGAAAGCAAGAGTCCTTAGGTGCTGCTGGTTTTGATACAAGTATAGAAATTTGACATGGGAGATGAATGTGTCACCGGATAATAGGAAGCAATTTACAGGAAGCAATTTAGTCCTGTAGTGCTGATTAGATATGGAGGTGTTGAATTCATATTTTCCTTCAGGTGCTTATGTGATAAAATCAGAATTTCCTTTCATTTAAAAGATCATGTAGAACTCTGTAATCAATGGAACTACACTAAACAAGGAAAAAAGTGGCTGCAGAATAGTGATATATTCAAAGAAAGGAGGCAGTCAATGACAACTAGTTTGTGTCTTCAAAAATTTCTACAACTGTACAAATTAAAAGTATATCATTAAAGAGAAGACAAGTTATATCACACCTTTTTTTTTTAAGAAAATAAATATTTATGAAATCCAGCAACTGGTGCATAAGTGTATCTAGACATGATTTCTGTATTAATTGAAAATTGGGGAGCATTGCCTGAATTTTAGAATTGCAGAAAGCAGGCTTTTCTTACAAGAGCAAAATACAAATCCAATGCATTTGTAAAAGCTTCCTCAGTTATAAATGTATAAAATGCTATGACAACATCTTTCTGGACATTAAAAATAGCATAAGCAGGAGTTGAATGAGAGGGTGCCTAATTTTTAAATTTTTTTTCCTTCATCTGCTTCTTGGACACTAAAAACATTATGGTTTGTGGCCATCTAGTGGTGAATCCTTTTTAAATACGCTAACCTTGTTCAGAATTTTAATAAACCACTCCTCTAGCTTTGCTGTGCAAAACTGAATTACAAAACAATTTTGGGGAAAAAAAAAAAACCTGTGTATCTTTTTCTCTTTTGCACTAGCAGTATTTTTTACAGGAGGATAATGTCTGTGAAGGTCATTTCCTTCTTTCCTTTTCTTTGTCTTTCTCGAAGACAAAACAGCTTTTGATGTTAACAGTTTCTTTTTAGCAGCCAATGTTAATGGGGGAGGGGTGTGTTCCAGTTTTATTCTGTAATTTTTTTTTATGTCCAAGTCCTCACTGGTACAGTAGTGAATTTATTCCTTAGGCAGAAATTTATAAATTTTATAAATTATGTGTTTCCAAGATACAAAGTATTCTCTAAAATATCTTCGAAGTATACATCAATTCTGAAAGCAATTCATATCCCTTAGTATCTATGACTCATGAGAAATTTGATAGACAATATGCTGGCTGCTTTGCTTAAGTCCTCATGACTAAATTGCCTCGGTAATAACATTTTTCTAGTATTTTTCTCTGAGCAATGATTTTAAAATCTCTTGGGAAAATTACTCTCACAAGTGGAAGAGATTAATTTAAGCATCAGTAGGAAGCAGTATAGTAGAAGAACTGTGGCAAGTCACATCTTGAATGAGATGTGTCTACATGGTTTGTGAGACCTGGTGGACTTTAACATCTGCTAAGTACCTAACAAATGAAAAACTGAAATTTTGTTTTTATTAGAGAAATAATTCAATAAGCTTATTAATAGCAGATGTAAGCATTTGTATTTCTTGTTTCCGCTAGATAATAGCAAAAATGTGAAAATATGGTGGTTCCAGTTTTTCCTTAATTGGGAAATGGACTATAAAATGTTTTTTATAATGATTTTGCCTTTACCTTTTGTTTCTTTCATCAGTGTCATTTTTTTTCATATCTGACCATTCCAACTAGCAGTTCCTTGAATTCTCACAGTGTTGACATAGACTTCTGCTTTTTTCTTTTAATTGCTGTAGATATTTCTTCTATTTAATTTGTAGATTTCACCAAGATGACAGATAAACATAATACAACAAAAACTGTTTAAACTCACTATCTAGCATGCCACCATCCATCCATTAACATTGAACATTGTATCAGGATGGTATTGGGTTAATGTATGTAATGGTTTGTTTCATTTTCAGGTATTTGGAGTGGATGACAGCCAGGATTATAATAGGCCTGTTATCAACGAGAACCAGAAAGATTTAGTAAAAGATTGGGCTATAAATTCTGCTACAGTAGTGCTGGAAGAAAAAAGACCACTGAGTACAACTGGATTTCTTGCCACAGAGGTAGAATTTAATTTTTGACGGTCTTCTTTTTTCTTCCAATAAGAGAGAGCACTAATAACTGACCAGTAAGTGTTGAACAGCAAAAAAAAACCCTTGCCTAGAAAATATTAGCTCAGATCTATAAGTTTAATTTTTCTTAGGCCTTTATTTCATTATCAAAACTTCTCTGTCAGAGACACGTTACATTGTGAAGATGATGTAAACTTTGCTACCTTTCTATGTGCACTAACACCAGTGTATTGGAAATGTAGCAGGAGCTTCCTTGCAAAATTATATGTGCAACAGACACTTGCTCAGTATACACTTTTTTTAAGTTATGCAACAGAACTGAGGAAAAGCTGGTATGTTTTATAGCCCAAATCAACTCTATTAAAAATCAGAAATAAGGTATATGAATTTATTGTGTAATACAAAATCAGCTAGGAAAAAAACGGTGGGTAATACATTTCAGACTTTTTCCAAAGCCAGAGGACTTCAGCTTTTTACATTCATGGTATGAATTCTCAAGTGAGATGCCGCTCATGGGAAGTCACTTATGTTAATTGCCTCAGAAGCAGTATAACTTAACCAGTTGGTGAAAGATGAGGCAAAGGAAAATGCCTGTTCTTTATATATGACTCAGAATATGCACAGAAGCTAAATGTTAATTGTGTTTCATATTGGAAACTTGGGAGACATTCTGATATCATTGTGATGGATAAACTATAACTTAAAATGTGTTGGGAACGGAACAGGCTTACACTAGAGAAGAATTAATCTGGTAACAGTCATGAAGTACACCACACTTCTGTTTGCCGTGGCAGACTATTTCTGAAGTATGATCCTTTAAATCAGCAAACTTTATAAATAAGCAAATTTTCTGGAGTATATCAAGAGCTTCAAGTATGACTTTGTGTGCCTGCTATGCAAATATATTGGGTTTAGCATGTAGGAATCTGTTTCTCCTAGAGAAGGTGTGCTTTATCATGTTGTATTTTAGCTACTGTACAATCTTGATACACTAAGTATGTTACTGTATCTAGATCAGTATCTTTGAATAGCTTGTCTAAGGTTACTGCTTCAAGTAGATTATTGCCATACAGCATGGGCATATTGTGTTGGAAGAATTTGACAAACTTTGACTTTCACCATGCCTCTTTGCATGAAGCTATAACCACAGTCTTTCTCTCTTCTTTTTCATGCCTTTTGCAGCATTCAGCTCTTTTGTGTTTTCAAGATTATTAAAGTTTTCAAGATTATTAAAGTTTTCAAGATTATTAAAAGTATTGATATTTTTCCATTTCTATAATTTCATAAGCAGAAGAAGATAGTATTTATATTATGAACGTAATTGAGCTTTCCAGGTGTCATATTTCGCAAATAACAGGGTTTGATTTTAGAAGACTGAGACTTCTGTGACCATAGGGCAGGTTTAAGTATCCTTCTGGCAATGGCATACTAAAACTTGCTTTGATTTAGGTTGAAATTACAATAAATGTTGCCCTTTTATTACTGTGGGTGCTTTGCTGAATAAAAAGGTCATCTTATATTGGAAAGGGAATGGGTTATTCAGCATAGTCTTAATTTACAATATTATTACAAGGCACGATAGAGGAAAAATGAAAATTGTTCCGAAGGTACAGGAGCAAAACTGACAAGCAATGTGGATGTAGCAAGAATTAGTGTAAGAAGAGATGAAGATAGATGAAGATGGAAAAAAGCTTACTAGAGAAAATTAAAAATAGAATTTGGTTGATTTGTATGTAGAAGTAAAAGAGAAGCTAATTCAGAAAAACAGAGATGTGTTTTGTAGTTTCATAATGGGAAAACAATGATGAGGATAACTACTGAGAGAAGATGGTAATATTTAAAGTCTTATTACCAAAACTTACATTCAGTTTGTTTTATCATTAGGAAAGCAACAGGCAAATGCGTTTGATTTGTGAAGTACGTAGGTATGACATTCTCATTATATACAAACTTTACTACTGGTGGTTTTTGGAAGACTTACTGCATTACTGAGCTGCAGATCATAGGTTAGTAGACCTTATTTAAGATCTTGGCTAAATAGTCAAGTAACCACGGGGTAGCTCAGTGTTCCAGGCTTGCATCCACTCAGATTGTGGGTGAACCTTGTTCCAGCTGCCCATCACAGTTGTACCTAGCAGAATAAGGCAAATTCAGAACACAATTGACATAGAAAAAGCAGAGAATAAAAATATAAGAGATCGCTGTTCAGGAAGATGGAAAAGGTAGCTTGGGAAGTTATGAAGATTTTCTAAAAACAATTTTGGGGTTGAAAGATTATTCAGAACTTAAATAACTTTACAGCGCTTGTGAAGTATCGTGAATAATGTGCTTGGAAAGGACCTAAAAACTGCTTTTCTTTTAAAGACAGTCTCAGCTTTTTCTTTGATATGACAAGCTTTGGTACATTGGAGTACTGTATGTCATGAAACTAAATAAAATGCAGAGTGAATGTCTGACACAGTTGGATTGAGCCTGCATACACTGGTTCTTTCTTTTTCAGTGATTATAGATAGGCAGTAAAAATACTAAATCTATCTATTTAAAATATTTAAATGTTTTTATTTTCTGTATTATAAGCTGCCACTTGCCAACCAGGGTAAGTGTGATTTAAGAACAAAAGTTTCATACAATAGAGAACAAAGACAAAATTGTTGTTGTTATTATTATTAATGATTCTTACTATGTGTTCTTGATTAATACAAATACTGCAGACATTTGGGCTGTGATTTATATACCATTTATCTACCAGCTTCCATTTAATTTTCAGTGGCCAGTTATCTATGCTAACCACAGTTCTTGCATAATACATGGTTTATCAACATTATCTTTGATGTGCATCTTTGGGGTTTTTTTATTTTTTTGTTAAGACTACAGCACAGTTAGAAACCTGGTTCTGCATCTGCAGGTTCATCAGTGCCGTTGACTACGATGTTCCTTTTCCTACTTTGAATGCCCATTTTGTGGTTTTTCCACTGAAGATAAAATAAATAATACTGCTCACATTCTGAATACTGAATCACTTCATTCCAGAAAATATTTGCTGTATTTAGAAGTGGAGAATTGTTGTGTGTATTTAGAGGCCATATTTCCTTTTCTTTGTCGTCTCTAATTAAACTCATTTCCTGTGCTTCTGTAGAGCAAACCATTCAGTCTGAAGTTTGATACTTTTTGTTTGAACTTAGATGCTATACTGAAATGTAGGATTGTGTCACCAATGTAATATAGCTGTGAAAAGGCAAATATGACCCTTGGATACCCTGGAAAATGTATTCTCAGTAGAAAAGGGCAGTGTTGTTGCCATTGTAGAAAGCGTTGGTGAAACTTCCTCTGAAATACTGGCACTAGAATTGTTCCCATTCTTAAAGAAGGGTGAATACAAGACTAGAGAAAGTACAAAGAGGTCTACTCAGATTATTAAGGGAATGGAAATTTACCTTAGAAGAACAGATTGATACAATTCATTTAGTGTATCAAGGTAATAGTTGAGATGGGTACAATTGCTGGGTTTTGCTGTATAAGTAGAGGAAATGCAACAAAAGGAGAAAGAACTGTTTGAGACAGATGTCAGTGTTGTTCCAGGAACAAATGTGAAGACACTGGCGGTAAATAAAATGAGTATGGAAATCTGAAAAAAGATCATCACCCCTGGAGCAATATGGTTCTGAAGCAGGTAGAGTGGAGAGGAACTAAAAGAACTGCTTTTCGGATGGCACTTCAATATATGAAAGGATTGCATAATATAATTCTTACAACATGAGATCATAGAATGGTTAGAGTTGGAAGGGACTTTGAAGATCACCTAGTTCCAACCCCCTACCATGAACAAGGACCCCTTCCACTAGACCAGGTTGCTCAAAGCCCCATCCAACACTTGAACACTTCCAGGGATGGCGCCTCCACAACTTCTCTGCCCAGCCTGTATTTGTGCTTGGGATTGCCCCGATCTCCGCACAGGACCTTGCACTTGGCCTTGTTGAACTTCATGAGGTTGGCAAGGGCCCACCTCTCAAGCCTGTCCGGGTCCCTTTGGATGGCATCCCTTTCCTCCAGTTTGTTGACGGCTCCACACAGCTTGGTGTTGTTGGCAAACTTGCTGGGGGTGCACTCAATCCCATTGCCCATGTTGCTGACAAAGATGTTAAACAGCACCAGTCCCAGTATTGACCCCTGAGGAACTCCACTCGTCACTGGTTTCCATTTGGACATCAAGCCGTTGACCGCAACTCTTCAAGTGTGGCCATCCAACCAATTTCTTATCCACCGAGTGGTCCATCTGTTAAATCCATGTCTCTCCAGTTTAGAAACCAGGATGTCACGTGGGACAATGTCAAATGCTTTGCAGAAGTCCATGTAGATGACATCAGTTGCTCTTCCCTTATCTACCAATGCTGTAACCTCATCGTAGAAGGCCACCAAACTGATGACTGCAGATTAATGGAGTATGTGTCTGAAAAGTCTTCTTTTTTTCTTTTTTTGATTCAGCTTTTTGAATTATTTTTTTTTAAATGTTATTCTGCTCTGAAATGCCAAGTATTGGAGATGCTTCCAGGTGTCATGTGTGTGTACTGTTGGTTTTTTTCAGACATGGAACCTGAAGCCCTAAATCTTCAGGCTGAATACTGTCCACAGAAATCCATTGGTACATTTTCTGAAGATCTGTTACTCCAATTTAGTTTGTATATGCGATAAGCATAAAGGAAAGCAGATTTAACATGAAGTTAAAACGCTGGTATTGCTTATGTAAAACCAGCATTTCTGAAAGACTAGGAAATTCCTTTTGGTAATCAAGAGAAGATTTGGAGGATTGCTTACTTGAGAGCCTGTAAGACACAAATTGATATGAGTTATAGGAAGAACATTAGGATAACTAAATGTGACTTTTAATGTGTTTTATAAACCTTTCACCTTTTGAATGTTCTTAAACTGCTATCAAAAGAAACTGCTTTTCATAGCTTTGTTGTTTGTGCTTGTATATATAGAGAGCTGGCAAAACACATTTACATCCACTGCTATGTAGAAAATGGTTTTTTGGCAGTGTAATTACTTTCAGAGAAAAGTAATTTATCATGTTCCTTTACTACAGTTAATCTGTGAAGTCAATATATTTCTCTATTGTGAAGTGGAATTCAGTTTTTGAGTACATATCATATCTGTATCTCTGGAATTGGCTAGGTGGTACACAAGGAACTAGTGGAAGTTTTCTGTAGCAAAGATAATTGGGATGTCTATCATACTTGGTTTTGACTGTAATTAATTGTTTTATTAAAGATTGAAGTTCACTAGTACAGCCAGGAAATAGAGAAAAGAAAGTTTAGAGATAAGAAAGAAAAATGAGGCTTGAGCAGTATTTGTCGATGCATAAATGCAGCGCATTTTTGAATGGTGTTTTTGTAATACTTTTTCTGGCACCCTTTTGCTTGCATTGTGTTCAGAAATGCCCATAAATAACAGAAACATCAAACTGCCTTCCTTTGCTGTTATTAGGCTTGAATTTTATAACATTTTGATTCTAAGAAATGAATTCACAATGTGGAAATTTGTGTAATAGTTCAAACAAATGATTTGGTGCATCTCTGACTTACTACATTCATAATATTCTGAAAGAGATTTGTGATGTTGCACTTGTTTGTATTATTTAGGGTCATTCATTTAATCAGGAGAAATTCAAGATCATAAATTCAAGTCTTCTCAAATGTCTAAGTAGCTTTTAATTTGAAAGAAGTCATCATACACTAGATGACATTGTTGACCATTCCATTTCTGCTAAATAAATTTTATAAAATTTATGGAGATGGTTCCTGGTCAAAGACTAGAATACCAGAGTGGCCAAGGCATGAGGCAAAAATCAGCATTTTGAATAGAAGTGCCAAGATTTGAACAGGCAGTAAAGCTTCAGCTAACCTTTGAAATAGCTCCTACAAATTTCTTTGCTGAGCAGGTTGCTGGTGTCTCCATGTCTTTCCCATCTCTTTTGTTGATCTTGGATTGCGATTTCTCTTTTGACTTGCCTATGGTTATGTAACTCCTTTGGAACTGTAGTCAATGACTTCTGTTATTTACGGTGCTTTGTCTTTTGAGTCCAACAAATTAGAATATGTAAACTTTTATAAAGCCTTTGATAGTGTACAGTGTGTGTGCGCGCGCATGTGCATGCTGTCCTTTTTTGGAGATGTGAGCAAGAGAGGCTATAATATATCGGTTAAAACAGTAATATTGAATTATATTTACAAATCAATTTTTAATTAAAAAATACTTAGGATGCTATAACAACATAACGTAAGAAGATGATTTAATTTTATATTTACTTTTATTACATTTTAGAAATATTAAAGGTTTCAAAGGGCTTACCGTCAAGAAAATAAATTAATTTCTTTCTAGGTCAGCTGCAAAAAATGATCAGATACTGATTACATTGACTTCACTGTTACCCAGTAGGATGGTTTAAACTAATCTTTGCTTCTTTTTTTGTTTAGGCCAAACAAATGATCTGGTCTTCCTTTCCTGATCTTCCTTTCCTTTCCATCATAAGTTATCTTACTCTTTCAGTCCTTAAGGTAGTCTTTCTGTAATGAAGTAAATACAGTTTTTCATCTGGACAAGAGGGTCTTCTAAACTGGTAAAATGTCACTTTCGTGTCTTCCTGAAGCACTTTTTTATTTTTTGAACACACACACCCCCACACCCCTTGTTTTTTTCCTGCCCTTCTGAGCTGAGGACTGAAATTAACCCGGTTTTAGAACTAGCACATTCTAATATATTTTATATAGGTTCTGATGTTTAAAAGTTCTCTGCACTAGAAAAAGCTGTTTATTCTGTACTGATTCTGCAACTATAAAGATTTTGTTTGTTTGTTTGCAATTTATTGAGGTAAACTCCTTTTCCAGCTTTCTCCAGGTAAATAGTGTTTGACATGTCTATTCAGGAAAAAAAACTGGAAAGAGGACGTGGTTTTTATCAAATAGTTGTAATTTTTCTTCTGCTTTTTTTCTTCCTTAGGAAAGTTCTACTGCCCCTGGAGGTAAACGTTGGGTATCACAGTGGGCCAGTTTGGCTGCTAATCACACACGCCATGACCAAGATGACATCAGATTGGAGTCATCTGTGCCTGCTCCATTAGAAAACGGTATTAAAAACTGTTCTTGTTGTCGTAATTTCTGCTGAAGAAGCCTGTGAAGGAGAGAAAAGAGTGATTATGTACCTACCCAAGTAGCTTTTTTACTCCACATCTTCACCTGAAGTTCTTCCACGTTGTTGAGAAGAAACAGCATAAAAACAAACTCAACAGTAGTGTTGTTTGGCATGGTAGAAGAGTGCTAATATTAAACTGAATGTTACTGAAACGAAAAATATAAAAACTATTTAATATTAAAGAAACTCACACTTGAATGCCATTTGGGTTAGTCTGCATAGTATGTTTCTTTCCTTACATCTTTCTTGGTACTAGCCCCAAATTGGACTTGATTGATTGTTAAACGGTCCAACCTGAGACTTCATTATTCAGCTGAAGCATAGCATACTTATTTGGAAACATAGAAAACCTTTTATGTTTCTTGAAAACCGTAGAAACTTTCCCCTCAGTGATGAACAACTTTATCTCCTTTTCTTGTGAGTGCCAGATGCTATGTCTCTCATTAATTAAACTATTCACATTTCCTGTTTTAAGTGGAAATCTCCACGCTACAAAGGAGTTGCTTACCTTACTTCTCCTCTGCTGTTTTCTTCCTGTAAGTTTTACCTTAGAGATGATGATTTGACACAGAATTCTAGTGTATTTTTTCTGCTGATACTTGTATATTGAGGTGGAGTTAATGTAGCTCTTCATTATAAAATCGACTGGTAACTACAAAGTGATGTCATATTAATGAATGCTTCATATTCTGAAAGTGAAATGTTGGTTAGTGATCAAGAAGTAACTAATTAGCAGTCTACTACTTGAGAGACGTTTTTGTCCTGCAATTCCAGCATTTCCTTGTATTCCAGTTTACTGAAATTTTCAGCATCAAAGCAGAGTTTAAAAGATTTTTAATTGGGAGAAAAATGTGGTTTAGAAGTAGAAATGCTTACCTGTGTACAACACTTCTTAAGATATACTACCATCTACAGAACATGTCTAATAACGTCTTGTTAGACATTGGTGAGTAGAATAATTTTTTTCTATAGTTTTGAGCATCTTTTTAGTTTGTTTGGTTTTTTGTTTGGGTTTTTTTTTTTTTCCTCTTCCCAGAAGTTATGTTTGCAAGTGTAAGGTATGTTCCCTATTTTTTTTGTTATAGCTGCTGGCTTTCTTCAGATTTTCAAGAATCCATATGTCTCTTACAATTTCAGAGCAAACTACATCTATGACTTATAAGGTAGTCTCTCAGAAGACTGCAGTTTCAATTGATAAAACCAAGTCTTTACTGCTTTCAGAGTGGAACCATGTGATTCTCTCGCTGCTTAGACTGCAGACCTGATCCCAGCCCTCTGCCCAGCGGTCAGGTCTTCTGCAGAAGCAAAATTGCCTATTACTAAGTTCTTTGGTTTTTTCACTGTTTTTTCCCCCACCACTGCTGTGGGTCTTCAGACCAGTGTAAAAGTGTAGTGACAGAGATTTCTCTAAAGTGTTTATCTATTCCACATGACATATGAAAAAAAAAAAAGGGGAGCGGGGGGGAATCCAGTTATGATATTGTTCATATTTTTCTGCCCAAATTTTAGGTTTCTTGACAAATTTAGATAACTGCCCTCGTTCCTGGCCCAGGTTACATGAACTGAACCATTGTCTGAACTGCTCAATCTTGAATCCCATAGGCAATAATCTTTTTTTTTTTTTTTTTCTTTCAAATTCCCTCTATTTCTCCTACAACACCTTAACTTAGTTGTAACAAATATATGCATTTCCTGAGTGGATTTGTGATAAATTTATTTTACTGCCCTCAGATTTTAGATAACACTAACAAACTAATTCAGGTATTTTCTATGCTCTTTATAGAGGTCTTACCTGTACAATTTATTCTTTACTGGAAAAAAGCCAGTTAACTTCTTCTCAAAAGAGTTAGCTTTTAATTCTGGCACAACGAAAGGAAGAAAAAGAACATGAGTTTTAATTCTAAAGTTGAACAAATAAGTTGTCTACTTCAGAGGAAAAAAAAAGGTTAAACTGAAATATTATTGGAAATTTATTCCAAAATGAAGCTGCTGTTATGTATCGATTAGTAACTGAATTTTTCTTCAGGTTTGTATTCAGCAGATGAAAGTATATGTAAGCGTGTTTAATTGAATGGTTCATCAGATGCAATTATTTTTCTGATAATTTACTTTTTGAAGTAACTTCACATGGTTTTAAAATTATTGAAGGTGAGGCTGTTTATTAAAGCAAGCAATGAAATACATTCCAACTTCATAGTCTTGTTTTACTTTTTGGGGAAGTTTACAAAAAAATTTTGCTTTTGATGTTCTGTGATGCAAACTTCTGTATTAATGCATGGAAGAATACTTACCAGTAACTGCTGCTTCTATAGTCGCTTTTCCACTCCTCATATCAGTTGAACCTTGCATAGGATACTGAAAGGCAATGGAGATGGAAAGGGGGAAATTAAATTATCTGATATACCTTGTACATGGAATGATGGAAATCAAGAGCAAAATTTGCACTCCTTGGAAGGATCAGGTATACATACAGGGCACTTAACATCATAGCTGTTGAGACTGATCCTTTGTCTGGTTAACCAGCGGTGTTGGTGGTCTTCTGTTTTTTGTATTGTTTTAAATTGTCACTTGCAGATGGGATGGTAACTAGGATCTTCTTTAAAGAGATGAATGCTTCTTTTACCATTATAAGAAATCTATGATGTAAGTGAAGCAACAACTGCACAGTGCATACCCATACTGCAAGAATTCTAAAATACTTAAGGAGAAATACAGAAAACATTCAAGCACCAAAGATGTAATGAAAATACAGTTTGATACGTATGTCCAAAGACCAATTCACAAAATCTGTCTTCCTGGCTTTAGGAATCTTAGTAGTTAAACTTCACATAATGTATATGGCCTGAGACAATGCTGGACAACTCCCAATCTTTCTTCTTCTAAAGACTGTTGAAATTCACCAAGAAGCAGGTTAGATGCCTAAATATATACAAAAGATTTGATCTGGTAGGTATGTCTGAGAGAAGTCAATCTTCACAGATATTGTTTTTCACTGAACCTCCAATTTTTTTATAATTACTAAGAAGAATAGTCCAGGAATTAGAAAACCTTGTTTAGATTTCAGAGATACGTCCTGCTTCTCAAATGAGTGTCCTAACATGGATTATACAAAAAAAGGTGTGAGTCATTTTGCATTCTTCATCAACTGGCAAATGAACTTGCAAAAAGAACGACTTTCTAACCAAACATTCGAATTCCGAGCAATTCATGGAGAAATTCGTATTATCTCTGAGTAATAAAAGCTTGTTTTTGACAGCACAACTGCTACGTTTGTTAAATGGGCAAGGAGGGCACAGTCATCACTGTGGAAAAATAGTTTGGTTTCTAAAATGCGGGTATTCAGCATCAATAATTCCTTTCAACAGTTCATGGGATGGCCATATTCTTCTGCCTAAAGAGCATTCTATATCCACTAAGAATTCAATGAAAGTGCTTTAGCAGTAGTACTGCCTTCTTTTGATGCTTTTTATACATTTTCTAGATACTTCTATACTTCAGTGTCTTGTTTGGGTTAAAAGCATTCTTTTTGCTGTCTCAGCCATAGTAAGTTCTTTCTTCATGAGTACGGCTTTTCAATACTGCTTGAAAGAGCGTCTCCCAGCACTGCAAGCTGCCTTCTTGAGGGGAGGTCTAGCAGGGAGAGGCTGTAGCCCCTTGGTGAGACAAGACCTTGAGCTGTGGAGCAGGCAAGTAGGGAGGAAGGAGGGGGATCTTACTCCACTCAGTAGCTTTGAAATCTGGTGTTGAATGTGTTTAGGAATCTAAGACTTCCTTTCTGCTCCCTGTTCTAATGGTTTGCTAATGTAACAGTGATTCATTGTGTACCTGTTTTAACGTACTGTGGGAGCACAAAACTTTAGGTTCATAGATACAGTCCCAGTGTACACTGCTGGCTAAAAGAGTTTGATTTCAGGGAGAGCGTATCTCATGTAGCTCAAATTCTTGTATCTATGAAAACTTTCCTTTTTATAGGGGACCGATCCTAGCCCATATTATGCAACATATATACTGAAATTGCAATGAAGCAGGAAAAAATACTATAGTTCCTCTGCAAAAATGACACAAATGTTCACAAAGTGTTCCATTTCCCAGCATACAGTCACAGAGTGTCAATAAGGTAGTAATTAGCCTAAGATGCCACATAAACTGGTGATTGTTCAATCATAGCCAAAATTATTCATGTTTTCGAAGAAATTCTGTCTGTTTGTTGTTCTGTCTTTGCATTCTTACCCTGCTGCTGAAATGACTCCTTCCCTTTTCCTGCAATGTGCTAGTTTTAGGACATACACTTCTGGAAGATGGCTTTTTCTGTCCTGGTCACGTCTCTGTGATAAACCAGAAATGGTTCATTGCAATATTTCCATTGCTACCTTTTAGACAATGCTTTGATAGACACATCAGCTTTTTGGATTGTGTAGAATGAACTGTTCATTTGTATGATACACTAACATTCTACTTCTAGTAATACAGAAATATTTTTTTGATACATGTAATGTTTTTAATTAGGATATACCCGTTCTAAAATTATGTTAGCACATGATTTTGTTTGTATTTTATTACAAAATACATTGCAACAGTGAAATGAAATACTACAGATAGTTATGTACAACTTATTATAGTTTGGAGGTAGTTAATGTAATTCACAAATGGAGTTTCCACTCTGTAATAAGACGAGTAAGAACAACTTCCTGCACAGAAAAAATTATGCCTAATGAGAATAGGAAAGCAGTAATGGTCTAAATTAACATAAGTTGGACTTTCTCCAAAGAATAAGAAAATTATTTAAAGAGTTATTGACCCAAATAGCTTGTAGGCATAATCAAATCTCCATCAACTGAGATTTTTAAGAACTTGTTAAATGTTTTTAAATGTATATTTGTCTAAGTATAATTGATCCTGCCATAAAACAGGCAGAGGGATGGACTAGTGACTTCTTCAGTTCTGTTTTATGTGGTTTTATTAGTCTTGTGCAGTCTTAAGAATTTAATGTTTCTATTTACCTTGCTATTGAATGACTTCTCAGCTTTTTTTTCTTTTTCATTTTAGACACAGACATCAGCGAGTCTGGTATTTCCGTTCGAAGCACTGGTTCAGCTGCTTCAGTGACCAGCCAAGGTGAGCGAAAGAGGAGGACACTTCCACAGCTTCCCAAAGAGGAGAAAGTGAATGAAAGCTCAAAAGCAAAAAGTACATCTCATCAGAGATCAGAAATAGGTGAAAAGCAAGACACTGAACTTCAGGAGAAAGAAACTCCAGGTCGTGCGTCAGATGCTGACAGCAGAACTATAGCCAAGTCAAGCAGAACAATGAATGGTCTTTCACCCAAAGCTACTGGAGACAAAGTTTTTTCTTTTCCCAACTCTTCCAGTAAAGAGAGAGTTGAAACTGGCAGAGAAACTTCTGTGGTGAAACAAGCTTTAGCAAAAATTCAGCAACAAGAAAGAAAGGAACAAGGACACTGGGCACCCGCAAAACTATCCTCTACAAAATCTGCTACAAACCAGGTTGAGAAAGGCAGGGAGGAGATTGCTATGTCACCCAAAACTTCAGATAATCAGGACAAAGCTCCTGGATATGCTCCCGATAAAGCAGAAATGAAGTTGGCACAGAGTGAGGGAAAAAGAAGAAAAAATGAGGAAACTATTAAAGGACAAAGTCCCAAAGCACCTGGAGGAGAAAAAAAGGAATCTTCCAAACCGTTAGTGAGGCAAGGTAGTTTTACTATAGATAAGCCTAGCACAAATATACCCATAGAACTTATTCCTCACATTAATAAGCAAACTGGATCTGCTGCCCCTTTAGCATCTGCAAACAGGTTACGTGACAGAAGTGATTCAATGGACACTGATTCCAGTCTAGATACAACACTCATTTTAAAAGACACAGAAGCTGTAATGGCTTTCCTTGAAGCTAAATTGCGTGAAGAAAATAAAACTGATGAAGGTCCTGATACTCCTAGCTATAACAGAGATAATTCCATATCACCAGAATCAGATGTAGATACAGCCAGCACAATCAGTCTCGTTACTGGTGACACTGAAAGAAAATCCACACAGAAGCGGAAGAGTTTTACAACCTTATATAAAGATAGATGTTCCTCTGGTTCCCCTTCAAAAGATGTTTTAAAATCTTCTGCAACAAGTGCCAGAGAAAAGATGGAAAAGAAAACTAAAAGTCGATCTTCAGATGGTGGGTCTAGAGCTGATGCTCGCAAAACTGTGCAATCCAGTGGAAGAATGAGACAACCATCGGTGGATTTGACAGATGATGACCAAACATCTAGCGTACCTCATTCTGCCATTTCTGATATCTTATCATCTGACCAGGAAACCTACTCTGGCAAATCACATGGAAGAGTTCCTTTTGCCTCAGCAGATGAACTTTTACATTCCAAAATGGAAGGAAAGTCATCTAAATCAAAAACCTCTCCTGTTGCACTTGGGCAATCTAGTAAATCTACCACTCTTCCAAGACCTCGTCCTACAAGGACTTCTCTCTTGCGCAGAGCACGGCTTGGTGAAGCCTCAGATAGCGAGCTTGCTGATGCCGATAAGGCTTCAGTGGCTTCCGAAGTGTCCACTACAAGTTCTACGTCAAAACCTCCATCAGGGAGGAGAAGTATTTCCAGAATAGACTTACTTGCCCAACCTCGCAGAACTCGACTTGGCTCTTTATCAGCACGTAGTGATTCTGAAGCAACAATAACTAGAAGCACTGCCTCATCTCGTACTCCAGAAGCTATTATCAGAAGTGGTGCAAGGTTAACGTCAGCAGGAGACAGTAGTAAAGTTTCTGCTAGAACTCGAGCCAATAGCATTTCCCGACTTTCAGATTCAAAATCCAAATCTTTGGCTTCAGCTCATAATTCTCCCTCAGGTATGTGAGATTATTTGAACTAGTCTTATACAATATTAGATGTTTTGCATATTTGGATTTTTTTTTTTTAAATAGTTTTTAAGGAACAGTTTTTATGAAATGTTTGTTGAGTTTTAGTTGATGCAGTCTTTCTCTTTGGAGGAAGAGGCTTCCTTGGCAGGGCTTGTGGATGTTTCTCACTTAAAGTCACAAAGATGACAAATTGTAATCCTTTAACTGTTCGGATATATTTTTTAACTGGAAACCAGTTACAAAGAATTGCATTGAGACATTCAGATGTGGCAGCACTGATTTGCAGTAGTAAAAAACAGAGCAGAGATCTCTTTGCTCAAGTCCTAGCAGTCGAAGTTCAGAAAGTCAGCAGCACTTTTACTACATAGAAGATATAATATTTATTTGTAAGGTAGGCTTGTAAATATGCTGAACAGCAAGTGTTCACTGAGGTATACCCTGAGCATCTGTAGGATAGTTATATTTATAATTTAAGATTAGCTTCCAGAACTGGACGGGGCTCTGAGCAACCTGATCTGGTTGAAAATGTCCCTGCTTGTTGCAAGGGGGTTGGACTAGATGACCTTTAAAGGTTCCTTCCAGTCCAAACTATTCTATGATCTACGAAAGTGAGATTTGTTTGGTAACAATTATAACAATGAAGTAACAAATGTAAAAATTAAACACAAACACTACCTAACTAACTATTGTGAAGTTAAGTAATTTATATTAAAATGTTTGCCTTGCCTTGGAGGAGTTTATGTCTTTGTTCCAAATCCTGACGATTTATGATTTCATCATGATTTCCAAATCACATTAATCTTTTGTGTGGTATTTCCTTTACTATAATATTATCTTATGTATGGAAGGAAAAATACACACAGTTACTTTTAACCTACTATTCTGTTACAAGTTAACAAAACATTTTAAGTGCAAGCAGTGTGAAAGGCTGCTATTTTTTTTTCCAACAGCAATATTAAATCAACCAAGGTAAAATGTGGTAATTCTAAATAAGTCAATTTTCATGTGGAATGAACATCTGAAATTTATGTCCTGTTGCTTTTTGAATTGTCATACTACCAGCTTGACTTTTTTTGAAGCAAATTCAATCTAAGGAAAAAAAAAAAGCTTCCAGTGCTGTGTGTTGCTACTGAGATTATATATTCTCCTTTCCTGCTTCCCATTCAAAGTTGATATAAACTTCTGTGATACTTAAATTTCCTGCAATCCTACTGCCCTTTTTTTGCTTGTATATCATAAATGTACCTTCTTAGGATTCTTAGCAGTCTTTATTCCCCAGACAGGTATCTTCTGGTTGTGTCATTTATTAACTGAATAGAAATGTCTGAAGAGATATAAACGAGGTGTTAACTGAACTATAAAATTGAATCTGTTTAATATTATGACAGCTGTCTACAAAGATTAAAAAAAAAAGGTGAAACTTCAGAGAAAAACCCAAGTCATTCCTTGTAAGATATCATTGGAAAAGTAGCATGTTTTAATTTTTAATCAAAGTTTTAAATTGTCGTGTGCAGCCTGAAAGGTGGCAACATTAGGTCAGGGTAGAGTGTCAGTTAAGACTTCTTCTGTATGTTTACTTTAATAATTAACACTAGTTCACATCATGATACTGCTGATTTTTGAAAAGGTAAACCCCAGATGTTACTTGTCACTTTGTTGCTTCTTGTGTTTTTCACAAAACTGTATATGGATTTTGAGTTTTGGGTCCCTGTGAACTATTGCATGCTTCCTAAAATTTCCCCAGGTTGTTGCATTGAAGTGGTTTGCTGCTTCTGTTCAGGGGAGTGGGTGTATCTTTCTCTTCCCAGTCTACTAGTCTATTACGGATGTCTTTATTTAATGTTCATTTCATACTCTCTTTTCAAGAGAGAAAAGATGCCATCTTCTCATGAGCTACCACAACATAATAAGCTAGGTATTTTAAAGACCATTGTTAGAAAAATCTACCGTAGAAATAGCTTTTTGCATAAACAAGTTTATCAGTTTATATATCAAAATCAGGGAGAAGCCTGTATCAATGTAAAGGCAAAAACTAGAAAGCAATTACTAAAGCAGATGCTTTCAAAACAAAATTATGGCTTAATAAATCAATCAAGTCTTGTTACTATGTAAGTAAAGAATATTAGTACTACTGTTTAGGGTTTGGAGTTCTGGATTTTGTCTGTATCAGTAAGCTTATTGTATAATTTTTTTTTTGCTGGACTACTTAAAGTATACTTTAGGAAAAATCTGAATTGCTTTAAAAGTGGTGTCAACTTCTAGTATATATAGGAGTATGTATCTCTCTCTATCCTATAATATATAGGCCACTCCTCAATACATCTCCATTTTCCCATTAGCATCTTATAAAATGATGCTAATAACTACCCAACACATCAAGTAATTAATAGTATTATCATTTTATCCTTAAATGTATTTAAGACGTCCTGGAATAGAATGTTCTTCTATGAAATATATAAAAAATTAATGTAGCAGAAGTTTTAGATGCAAAGCATATGATTCCTGAATTTAATTTTATTTCTGGAAAAGCCAACAATTCACTTAAATTTAGCACTTTTGCAGATTACTAATGAGGTGCCTGACAAAAGTTCCCCAACTGTTTGAATGTGTTTTATTTTGGGTACATTTAGTCAAGGCAGTGATGTATTTTCTTCTCTGCCTGGACCTGGAAAGACTGGAAAATGAATTATCATTACCAATATAGGGCTTTGTTTGGGTTTTTTTTCTCTCTTACCAGAAGACTGGTTGCTATTGAAGTGTTAAAAATGTTCTGTTGGTCTTCTCCTCAGAGGTAATGGTCTTCTCCTCAGGTAATGTTACCACATTGTAGATCACTAAACATTGGCAGCAGAATCTTGCTTCTTAAATCCAGTCTACCAAAGAGAAAATTATTTCCGCAATTTTCCAAATCTTTTTGAATGTTCAAACATACATTTCTGTAAAAAGGGGGCAAAAAAGCTGTAGTCACTGGATTTTTTTATTGTCTTATAATTCACGTGGATGAATTTCAATGTAATAGCATTAAAATTGTCAGAGCTGTCTGCGAGTCCATAATTTCAAGAATCTTTTTTAAGCCTTGGTACAGTTAAGTATTGCTTACTTTTAAATGAAGGGTCAGGCAGATAAAGGGAATGTCTTGGATGAGAATTGCTAGCATTAAAGTAATTACCAGGGTGTTTCTGTGGTAGAAGGCTTGATAACTGACAACACTGTGAAGACATGTGAAGCACAATTAGTAATTTTATAGCACAAGCAATGAAAGATTTAATCAAGACACTGAATCATCAAACAATAGAGTGTGATCAATAAAAACAGAGAAGACCAAAGACATTTTTTCACAATTGCAGAGGAAAATTGAAGATTATGTTACAGAAGGAGCTATGTATTGGGAAAACGAACAACAGGATCAGACCTAGTCAAAAATGCTATGCTGCAACTGTAAAATTAAGCGTTGAGTCAGAACAGAGAGAGCTTGAGCAACTAGTTGTGTTTGGCAGCTCTGCTGGCTTGCTGACCTAGCTGTCATTGCAAATAACTAACAGATAGGTTGATCAAGGCTGTTGAGGTATCACTGGGGGGAAAAAAAGAAAAAGAAAAGAAAAAGAAAGGTTTGAGTGTGGAGAGAAAACAACCCTTATTAACTGCACTACGGAGCACCAAATTTCAGAATCTTGGAAATGGATGAAACTTGAGAAGGCAATGCATCAACGAGAGCAGAGTATTTTATAAGGGGTATGCTTAATAGAGTCTGTCCTCAGATCTTAAAAGTGATATTATTGCATCCAGTCATTAAACTTTCCAGCTTAAGGTATTGTCAACACGTTGTACTTCTCAGAGTAGTCACCAAATTAGGTTTGTCTGCTGATTATTTCAGCCGGGTTTTTGGAGGATTTTCTAGTTATTGGTGCTGATATTCACAGTCTTTGGTATCTAAGATAACTAATTGCACAATAGCTTTCAGAAATCTACGTAAACTACAATGACATTTCAGGGATGCATAATTTACAAATTGTATTAAAATCACCTATGTGCAAATGTATAGCTAGCTTAATGGGAAACAGGCTTGGATATTGCTTGTCATGAATCATACAACTGAGATTTTTACTGTTAAACCTACAATAACTTTTTCCCCTTATTAGTGAGAACTCCATTGATAATATATAAATAAACAACATTTTAGGGCCTAAAATTTAATGGTCTTAAAAAACATAGAGGGGTTTTGTGGTACTATGTAGACAGTTGTTGTTGATGCCATTTCAGTTAGTATCTCTGAAATGTTTAAGCTTTTATAAAATTCATTATTTTTGATTGAATGTATAATTTAAGAATCTTTTCCTAAAAAGTGTGGGTGGAAAAGAGGACCTAAGACTAATCTCATCAATATATTTTATTTAAGCAAATGCTTCTAATCTGAATGTTTTAATACGAATTAACATGATAAAACACTATTTTGTACACAGAGAAATCCAAGCTTCTCCCAGACCCAGATCCTGATGTTGAAACTTACAGTGGTAGAGTACTAGAAATCAAATCTGTTTCTGATATTTCACTTCTCATTCAATTTTTAGTTTTTAAAAATATGACTACATATGCTCATTGTACAGTGCTGAGTTGCTGCACTTGAGAGATTTTAAGAAAAATTTTATATTTATTTTGATGAGTATAATTTGAACTGGGACAAAGAATTTAAACAAAAGTTGATGATAAAATGTGGGCCCAACTCATAAAGCTCTTTGGACTTCGGTCACACATTGCTTGCATGCTATTGGTGGGGAAATGTGCTTTTTCTGCTTATGTTCTACTTCCCTAAGATCAAAAGAAGTTTGAAACCTCTAAAAAGAAAACAGTAAGTGACTGGAGAGACTTTTTTATTCTCTTCAATAAAGTTAGAATATTTAATAAAAAAAAACTAGTAGAACTGAAGCCCACATTTACACCTGAAAAAAAATTACACAAGCATAGTTTTGTTTTCAGTGATTAAAAATGCATTACTTATATGAGGGAAGGTATGTAAGCTTATACACCAATGTCATATTCTACATACTGTAATCTTTGAAAGCATTGCACAAATCTTTTCTCAACTAAAAATTAATTCCATTATTTGTTGCTTAAATTCATATTGATGTATACATTTGCATTTTTTAAAAAATGTTTCAAGAGAAATCATTCTTACTTCTTCCATTTTTCTTATACTAAAACAATATACATTTCTTGAATCTGTTATTTTTAAATTACCAAGAGGTGATCACACACTTCTTAAAATTTCTACTGTAATTATACAGCCTCATGAATGTCAGTGAGTTTGGGGCACTAAATCTCCTGCAAGAATTTAGCAGGTTGTCATGATGAGCATTCCTTTACACTTAGTGATATCTCTTCCTGCTGGGAATGTTTGAGGACAGCGTATCTGAAATGCTTTTTCTAGACTTTAGGAATTCATAGGGGGATGAGAGCCTCCTACTTAGTTTCAGTTCTCTAATACTTTAGGCTGTCTTCAGCAACATGGCTGTATATGCTTTATGTGCTACATGTGAGAATATATGCTTTTTGCTCTGAGGCTGCTGTTTTTGTAGATGTGCTGCTGATTTTTATAATACAGTATTAACTTTAAAATGTTTTTTTCTGTACTGAATACATAATGCATCATCTAGGATTTTTATGCTTTCCTTATGTAAGCATGCGTTCCAGGCTTGGTGCCAGCTCCATCCTTCCTTCCTGTCTCTTCATTTTTTTTGGTGTAACACGTAAAACTTGAACTAAACTTGGGAAAAAAATCTGCAGAAAAAGTGCAATCTGACTATATACTTAAATGTTCATGAATTGGGCCCTTGTTTTGTAAGACAGTTTGCTTAAGCTCATATACAATGATTGGCTTTTACATCTTACTTCACTCATCATTATACAAAGAGCATCCGTTTTATGTTTTTATTAATCAATATTTATTATTTAACACAAATTTTGTAGCTTTCTTAAGATGTAGTAAATAAACCTTTTGTGAGGTCTCTGGGGATTGATAATGAATAGTTGTGTATTTTTGTGATGTTACTGAAATAATATTGTATTTTCTTATTAAAGATGCTATAACAATTCTTTTTTAATAATTACACTAATTTAGTTAGTGCAAGATGGAGGCGCTTTCCTACAGATTATGCTTCCACCTCAGAAGATGAATTCGGATCAAACCGTAATTCCCCTAAACATACCCGTCTACGTACCTCTCCAGCCCTGAAAACCACGCGACTGCAGAGCACTGGGACAGCAGCTCAAAGTAGCAATACATTCAAACACAGAATAAAGGAACAGGAAGACTACATTCGTGACTGGACTGCTCACCGAGAAGAAATAGCAAGGTTGGTTTTAAAGGAGTGCCTCTAAATTAACAAAGATTTGTAGCCAACTGGTTATACAGGTATATACATGGGAGAAAGAGAGCTAATGGATTTTCTGCATCACTCTACTTACCGTTTGCATTCACAAACTGAATGGGTAATTTAAAATTCTTCTTATGAAAGACTTGCAGACAGAACACTCAAGTTGCCAGCACATCTCCTTCTACTGGAAAATGGTAGTCATTTCTGACTTATGATAGCCAAATCCCAGACTATGAACTTCTGGTCGCATTAGTAGGACTTGCAGAGGAACTTTGTGTAGAACTTCTAGTTGCTAATGGTGTATTTCCTGAGGCTGAAGTATATCTGATTTTATACTATCTTTACGTTCACATTGAGGTAAAATTTCAGACAAATGCATAGTTGACATAGAGAGAAAAAGTGATTTTGGCAATGAGAGAGACCATGTTCTCATTTTAATTTTTTGTTTATCTAGACATTATTTCATGTTAGATATTTTCTGATTTAAATCATATGTATTCATCAAAAAGTAATTTCTTTTGTTGCGAGTCCCTGAGATTAGTATAGCAATTCCTCCATTATTGCTAATAGCACTGCTTCAAGTGCACCAAGGAAAAGGCAGTCAGTTCTACATTCTGGTAGCCAATTATTCCCATATTATGCAATACTCAGGCAGTGAAAACTTCAAATACCTTGCACTAAATAAATAAAAATGTGTAAGTATATAAATGTTATTTAAAACTTAGATGCCCATGTTCAGGTTCTGAACCTTTTCACCGAAGTAAATTTGGAAACCTAAACAAAAAAGGTGTTGTGCTTTTAAAATTAATCAACACTGTGTTCTCACAGCTGTGAAGCATTGTGTTTTGCTTAGTGTGATTAATTATTTTTTTCTCCCCGCTTATTGGTGATATTTTTCAACATTTGTTTTTCTAGTGGTCTGTACAAAGGGAAAATACTTAAGGGAGTCTGATGGCATCCTGATAAATCATGAAAGAAATATCTTCAAAGGCATCTTCCTAAAATGTCTCTTTCCAAGAATCTAAAGTATAGAGATGGATACAGGGAGGAATGTGTGTATATGGGGAAAAAAAAACGAGGATAGCCATGGCATATTATTTCCTCCTCATAAGAAGTGCGGCTGAACCTCTACTTCAGTGAAACTTCTTGGTAAATTTTGCTCGTCTAGAAGAGATTGACACTGGGAGTAATTGACCATTCAGTGTAAACTTATTTGATGGTTAGCTTTGCAGGTTTTTGTCTTCACTTGGGCTTCTTACCATTTTTTTCATTTATATACTGGTTTTAAATTTGTTTTGAAGGCTACATACTTACTCTGCCTTTTTCAGCTTCTTTGTTTCCAATGGAAGTGGTGAGAGGCTCAAATTGGTATTGCCAAATTTGTGACTGTGTATAGAAATTTCACACAAACTGTACTAAATGAGCATATTTAAGGTTAAGAAAGCTAGCACTGAGCAGTTGAGAAATGCTAGTCTACTGTCATCTATTGTCACAGCTTCCAACACCAGTTTTCTTGATTATGCCCTGCGGAGCGCCCCCCCCCCCTCCCCAGCTCTAGGTAACTATTTGATCCTTTCTGTCCCTCAGTATCTCTTTGTACTGATTCACAGTAGTGCGTCCCTGGCTTTAAGTTTAACTTCTGTCCTTTAGAAGATAATTTTGTCTCTGCCTCACTAGACATAGTCTACTCTGGGTTTTTTCCTTCCCAGCCCTCAATCCAGCCTCTGTGATCAGAGTCACAGAATCATGAGACTCCCTTCAACTCTGTTTAGAGTTTTTAAAAAAAGGAAAAGATAGGTATATTATCTAATTAAAATTGCTTGATTTAATTTATTTTTGTAGTAACTGACAGAATTGGGCAGGTGTAAAGATAATTATTTCATAAAGTAAATGTGCAGGTGAAAGTACTTGGAGACTGTATGACAGATATTTCCTTGCATCCATGTTACCATCATATTGTATTTTAACTGGTCTTCCAAGATTGACCCAGTTTGCACTTTTCAGAGACTCGACAATTTACAGATGTTAATAAAATTGAAAATTGGAAAGAGGTGTTTAAAAAAACCTAATGGAATAACTAAATTTGATCTAAAATCACTTTGGCATGGGGGGAATACACACCCTCAGAGTAAAGGGGGCTTCACGTGTATTTTACTTAAGAATTTTAAAGTAGTATCATTACAAAATAAACTGACTCAGTGTAGGAAGTGTGACATGGTATACTAAGCATAAAAATGTTTTTGGTAATCCAGCAGTTCAGAACTATTACAGATACCTTATAAGTGTTCCTATTTCACTGTTTTTTTTCTAATACTGTGGGTATTCTTTCACTACAGGTAAATAACAACTAGGGTTCCAGGCTGTTGAAAAAGATGGTCATGGTCTCCCCATCCCAAGCCCCACGTTCTCACCTTTTCCCTTGTGCTGGAAATTGTGTCTGTCCCTTATGTAGCTGTGTAGCTGCAGCAGTCTGCTCACTGAGCGAATCTGATAGCAGTATTTCCTGGAGCAGGTTGCGGTGTTAGGGAATTTGAAGTTTATTTTAGTTTTGCCTTGTATGATTGTTAAGTCTGATGCAGAAAGCAGTGGAAATCTGCAAGGCAACCTGCAGTTGCAACAGAGTAAATAATGTGTGCCTAAAGCCTAAGTCTCTTGTCTTGATTAAACAAAACATATTCCTTATATTTAAGCCATACTTCCTCTTTCTTAAAGTTAATGTAGAATGACTTGAAAACTTCATCTATGAAGAGCCAGGCTCAACCCTCAGCTGTCTTCTAATTTTCTTTTCCTTAACGCTTTTTGTTTAGTGCTCTAACTGTATTGTTTCTATACAGAAACATTATTGAGTCCTGACTATGGATTATTATCACATTGAAACTAATTCCAGATTTTGTTCACTTGGCTAGTGTTTGACTCTCATGATTGTCTAACAAATTGCTTGCCATCCGTGTTAGAGTTGTTTATTATGATATTTTCAGGATTCAGTTGAATTCCTTTTAATGTGGACATCTGACATTTTATGTAAGTTTGATTGCTTGGTAAGAACTCAATTGAAGTGGCTGTGGCATGTTGAAGCATTGTTGATTTCTCTGGAAAGTTAAGTTCTAGTTGATTGATACTACTTTTGATTATGGTGTTTAATGACATTTGTCTTCTGGAGAATTTACTGATAATTGAAATTTCCTGGGTTTTATTTTCTTCGCAACTATTCATTAAATACCAAAATCTGTCCCAGACATTCAGAAGTGGTTATTAGCAATTTATCTCTTTAAGAAAAAAGTGATGTGATTGTGTGAAAAAAAGAAACTAGGTGCTCTAGTATCTCTCCTATTCAGGATATTAGCTCAAACCTTGGAGTTTTAATGGTACGTATATATAAGAACATGAAATATAAATTAAAATTGACCCCAAAGATGTAGCAATTAGGTTAAAGTAATTAATGTAGTAGTAGGCGCTTACCAGATTTTAATTTATTAAAATGATTCATTGACTTTGTTTCTGCTGTAGTGTTTCAGTCTTTGAATTCAGAAATACTGTCTTGAGTGGTCAGGGGTGATTGTCGCTTATTCTTCTACAGCCTTATCCCAATATTATCCCGTATGCATATATACGCTGCAGGAGGTTGCACTTTATTGCGGGTTGCTGATGGTTAGCCACAAAATCCAGTGTTGGAATTTGACTGGAAATTACTCTAATTATGTTTGCCTTTCTGAAATTCTGATCACTCAGTCTTAAACTATCTCTAGGTCAATGTTGTCCATTCTTCTTGACTTGAAGAAAAAGTGAAAATAAAAAGCAGAAAGAAGCTCAACTTTAACAAGCACTGGCCGGCACGGTGCGCATCACTGTCGCATGGCTGTGCAACTCCTTCCACTTAAGTGGCAGGTGCTGCTGTTCACAGTGTCCTTGGTGGTGCAGAATTAGCACTGTTGACTTCTATGCCTTCACTCCTTTCAGACAGAACGAGGAAAGGGGATCACTTGGTGGGCTGCTTCTGAACTCTGTCTTCTGAACTGCTTGATCCAAGCTAGAGATTCAGTTAGTAGGGGGCTTTTAGCATTTACTTTGGGTTGGGTTTTTTTCCTCCTTTTGGAGTTGTCCTGGGGAGGAGTAGCACAAGCAGAGCCAAGCAAGCTTCCTTCCTGTGCTGAGCAGAATACACAGCAGTGCTATTTTGTGATGTGGCAGATCAGAAGAAAGGAAAAGGAATCTTCAGCTGAGAATTCAGTTGTATTTTTGTAGTGCTGTCATGTCCAAGTTTTTACAGGCATGTTCTGTTTTTCCAACTAGAAAGCTTGTCTTGATTAAATTTGAGGATTTAGGATACTGGTCTGGAATTTCAGACACGTAAGCAGCTTATGAGCAAGCTGCAGGGCTGCTAGATAATCAGAGGTCCTGAAGAAGTTCTTTGCAAGTAGGTAAACTGAGGTATAAATTGTGTTCTGGACATTTCAGATTCACTGGATGTACACAGGTCATCTGTGTGGTATTTTCAGGGTATTTCCAGTGCATTCCATGTGTTGAATTTACTGCATGTTTCACACATCTCTGCCTGGGAACCCTAGAAAGAAAACAGGGATGCTCTGTCTTTTAAGATTGCCTTCTACCTTCCTCCTCTAGAAAGGCATGTTATTAACAGCTTCAGTTAAAAATTTGCTTTTATGTTTCTACAAATAAACTTTCAGTTTAGAAGGGCATAAGAGACTTTCATAGCACAGTTATCAGGAACTAGAACTTAGAAGCTCAAAGGCTTCAGGTTGGGCACTACTGATCCAGAAGTATTTGTAGGGAAGAATGTAACACTCTCTTTATTACTAGGATCAGTCAAGATCTGGCTCTCATCGCACGGGAAATCAACGATGTAGCAGGAGAGATAGATTCAGTGACTTCATCAGGCACTGCCCCCAGTACCACAGTAAGCACTGCTGCCACCACCCCTGGCTCTGCCATAGACACTAGAGAAGAGGTAGGAGATCTTCATGGAGAAATGCATAAGGTTCTTCCTTTTCTTTATTTCTTTTGCTTTTAGCATTTTGCATAGCCTTTTTTAGTTATTTCCACTCAACCCGTATGCATGATCTCTACACTGTTTTTTGATTTGAAGTTCCTTTACATTTCAACAAACAACCCAGAAATTATTCTACAAACCCAGCTTGTCAAAAGGATGCTTACTATCTGTCTGTCTCTTTTTTTCCACGAAACATAGGACAAGATAGTTATTTGTTTCTTGCTTGTCTGTAGCCTTAGATACCATTGGATAGTATCTAAGTGCATTTAAAGATATTAGTGTGTATGCACAAATATATGTAAATGTATATATTTAATACTTTGCATAGATATTAAAACCAAAAAAGTCCCTCTTTTCACAGGTGACATTAAAGTTTTGTCTTCTGAACACTCAAATACTTAGGTACCATCGGTTAACAGTAACTTCAGGTTTTCTTTCTTAATAACATTATCAAAAACTTCCTTGAAATAAGTTTGCCTTGTGCTTCTAATAATTCTTATTTTCTTTGACTATCTCTGGTGTGCTGTTCTATGAATATATTGACTAACTTGTTCTAGTAACCATCACAGGTCTAATGCTGGTAAACCTGTTAATCTGAATTCAAGTCATCACTTTCTACCATATTACAATTCACCCTATTATGTTGTAAATGTTTACTGCATTTTTTTCTTCATAGAATTCCTTTGATAATCTGTTTATTCATTTTTGTGTGCATAAAGTTTGGTTAATTCATTAGTTTAGTGTTTTTAGTATAATATTGTCTTTTTCTGTGGAAAAAAAGATATAAACAGCGATAAGAAATCTGTGAGCTGTGTACTTAGAAAAATTGTAACTGCACTCACATAGATTTTGTTTATAATTCTTATGGACTTATGGCTCAATTTTAAGGAAGTATAGTGCTCATTTTCTCAGATCCAGTTAGATCACTCTAATTTTTATATTATTAAATAATTATTTTATTCTTAAAAAAATATTGTACAGTGTGTACATACTACTGCAGGTGGCAGTGTCTCCTTTAAGTAGGTATAGACGTTTCTGTAACGCTATGACTAATTTGGAAAAAAACCTAAATTTGATAGTACTGTACTTAATTCTACAGATACATTCCATTAATCAAAGGAATAAATTATTCAATACCAGTTTATAGGTAACTATTATGTTACCTACCAGTAAGCAAAATTTCTGTGGGATGGTCTAAATTTGCCATCTATGTCTAATATTTGAAAGAAAGACCTTCATTTTTACAAGGTATTGTTAAGTAAGAGACACATCGTTTTATACTATGCAAGACAACGGAATGAATTTTATTTGATAGGCTTCTTGTAAACTGTTTCAGAAGGAAAAAAAATATTAATCTGATCTTGCATGTATCCAGTAGGTTTCATAAACTGTATTTTTCTTTTACCCCCCAGTTGGTTGACCGAGTATTTGATGAAAGTCTCAATTTTAGAAAAATCCCTCCAGTAGTGCATGCCAAACCACCGGAGGGAAATGGTCGGCCTAATGATGCTAGACCTCAGCTAACAGAAGCCCTCGATCCCCCAACCATTACCCGGAGAAGGACTTGGAGCAGAGATGAAGTGAGTACACAACAGGATTCTCTCTACTAATGTGTCTATTTTAAGCTTTTACAGTTGTCTCCCCACTTAATATTCTAGACACTATCCCTTCTTTCCCACTTGTAGCAGGTGGCATTAATACTGGAAAAAAATATTCGTGTATTATTTAATTTGCAAAATGTTCAAATATGATTGGTTTTATATGATACTAATTAGAACACAAGTATGATTTTTTTTGAAGTTAAAAAAATATTTCAAAATATATGGAATTGTTTGCATTTAATTCCCATTAAACTAATAATATACTTTTTTATTAAAAACTTATTGCAGGTTATGGGGGACAGTTTGCTGTTGTCCTCAGTCTTCCAATTTTCTCGCAAGATAAGACAATCCATAGACAAAACAGCTGGCAAAATCAGGTGGGTTTTTAAAAATTATTATTACTGAAAATGTTCTGCTCTCATCAGCATTCCTACTAGTAGAAGAGAGATTTTTAATACAGAGAGAGGAAGTGTATTTAGTAGCAACTTGTGTTTTAAAAAAGCAATATTACCTATGGCCTTTTTCGCATTCAGAAAGATTTGGGATTAATAATTTTTCCATTATTGCTTGTGTGTGTTTCACATTATGTGAAGATAAATATCAGCAAAGTTTACATGGACAGAACCATATCCATCACACTTCCAGCAGAGGAGCTGTTCCAACACTTGCAAATGCTGTACAAAATCTACACGACCTCTATGCAAGGCTTGTAAAACTCTCTTCCTTAAAAGATAAGGTTAAAAAGTTGTTAAACTGTAAAACTGGGCCCTGTACATTTGCCAAGTTGTTGCAGGGATCACCAGTTTTAGGAAGAAAAACAAATGGTACAGAGGAGAGCAGTTTCAGTAAATCCTCCTGAAAAAGAACTTGCTCTGGAGACAATGTGGTCACTCTTGAGTTCTAAATCTAAATCTAAATTGAAATTTCCTGCTTAGATAGTTAGATTCCTGCATAAAGTGTCATAGTAGCAAACAGCAAGTATAGACATGTTAAAAATGTTAACGTGGTGCTCTACCAACAGCTTCATTTAACTTGAATGAGTAAGCGTACAACCATTTGGTGACCACTTTGGTTGACAAGAATAAATGAAAAGTCTAAACACAAAGTTCAGGATTGTATAATTCACATGTCCTTCTTCATGTCTCTGTGCACTTAATAATTTAAAAATGGAGTACATCAAAAATAAGAAAGTGATTTGGCTGAACCTCATGTATAATTTTCTGAATGTGAGAAAATATTGTAATTGATCAGTTTGTCTCAAAGTGTCAGGTATTGAAATGTTAGATGGGTGAAAGATTAATCACCAAATCACAAATGTATTTTAGCACAGGATGATGTAACTGGTAAAAGCGGCAAAATACTCACATACCTGAAGGTTATGTTCTCGTGGGAGTGCCCAAAAAGACTTGTCCGTAGAAATCAAGAAGAAAAAAAATAATCTACATGAATCAGTAAAAACTGTAGGTCATCTGCCATTTCTAGCCGTGCTGTTTCTAGTAGGAAGAGTATCACTGAGTGAAGAATCAACTCTTTAAAAGCCTGCAGCCCATTCTTAGAATTTCTGTTCTAATGTTTTTGTGTGTTGTTTTTACTTGTGGTTACAGGTAATATTTGTGAGTACCTTATTTCCGCTTTCTTGGAACAAGTTCCTGGACTGATAATTATCTCATTTCTCTTTTTCCAACTCACTATTTTGGGGCTGCGGAATTACAGTATTGGAAATATGCCATTTGCTGCCTTTCCCTCTTTGGTTTCCCCAGATACATTCTTTTATGTATCATACTATTTATTTGAATATCCTTAAACCAATGACATAAATGTCTTTTGCTATGTAAATTTCAGAGACAAATGAGGTAGTGAAATGCAGGTGTACAATACAGTTACTCTCAAAAGCTGTGCCAAATTAGCAGAGTTCAACTTCATTATGCAGAATTCATTGCAAATTATGCGAAAGTTCACAACTCGTCCAAGTTTAATCAGCCTCTGAGTGCATGCTATCATTTACTTTAATAGCTGATCTCAAGAAAATGAGCAAATAAATACAGGCAAAGGGGTAATTAAGTGCTGCCATTCTTTGAAAGTCATTTTAAAAGGCATTTGAAATTTTGAAATAGAAACAAAATATTACATTAAGTTTTGTTTTGTGCATAGTTCTCTGGGAAAATACAATAACATCCATAAGGAACTCTGTTTACCAATATATTTTTTTTTTCCTTTTAAAGCTGCATTGGAACAAGAATCTTGCTTGTTGCCTGACTTATTTGTGGTAGGCGTCTAGGATGATATGTATCTTAAATTCCTCAGAAGCAGTAGTAGATACTCTACTTTTTTTTGTCGTGCTGATTTTTCTTGATAGTTGGCAGTTTCTGATCTGTAAATATGTTGCTAGCGCAGCTGTAGCTTACCTAACGTAAAAAACTGAGTTCACTACAGTGAGTTAAAACAAATTTATGTATGCAAATTTATTCTGAGAAAAGCAGATAACTATAAAATCAAGTCTTACACTTATTCTGATTTGTTTTCTGAACTTAAAAGGTAAGTCAGCTACCTTGTAAGGAATGTAATAATGACATGGTCGTGTATGACATTATAAATGTAAGCACACCTATAAACATTTTATATACATTTAAAGAGAGTAGCATTGCATGTTTTTATAAGAATACAGTGGAGAAGCTTTAATTAATATGGAATTATTTAGCATATTCCCCAGAGCTGTGATCCAAACTTCCTTTTCCTGCTACTCAGATTGGATTTGAATAATATGATGTTATACATAATGTCATTAGTATTTTGAATCAGAAAACCAACAATAGTTACAGAATTGTTGTTAGAGAGCATGTAAGGCAGCTAGGACCTATTACAGATTTTACCTTAGCTTTGTTTTGATGTACATGAGTTCAACCAACTGGTGTGCTTCTATTCCTTTTACTGGAGTTAAGCCCGTTAAAATTTCTGCCTAGAACGGATACAATGAGAATCAATTGGGATTTGTCAAGCAATTGTGTATTTTTCCAAAGTACATGAACCTGAAAGGAGAGGAGAGACTTATAGAGGCACCAACAAGAGCAAGCCAGTAAGCCTGAATGCGTTTCAGAAGTCGTCTCTCAGTTTTTTCTTGTGTACCAGTGTAAACCTCTCTCCTGAGAACAGACAGTATAGGGCAATTACAGTGCTTACAAATTGCATCATACATATTAACAGCTTGCATCCTTCCTGTCTGGATCCAACTGGAGAAAGACACGCTTCCCATGAATGTGAATGCTCTTCTTTCTGTTATATTTTAGTTGCAATAGCTAGCTTAAAAAAAAAAAAACAACAAAACAGTTTCACTGGCTAAAGTGTTAAGAACATAAATATTTTTAGACATTCTTGACAAGCGGATCTATAAGAAATTAAAATTTGAAATCAATCACGAAAATAAATTAATATGAGGATAAAAAGAAATAGATAACTTTTTGCTTGACTAGTTTCTTCCCCACTTCATTAGAGCTGCTATTTCTGTTTTCTAATTTGGAGATAATGTTCCTAGTTCCACTGATTCTGTCATTGTTCCTACCTTATATTAAGAAATAGGATTGAGAGAAGCTTTTGATGCCGTATTTCTTAGCTAACTTCTCCCAGCGCTGGCCAAACTGTTCAGGTGTTTTTCCCCAAGTCCTAGCGTGGTGTTCAGATTGAACCAGGTCAGGTGCTCAGTTCTTTCCTTTCACCAAATCCTCTACATTTTTGTAATTTTCTTCAGGATAAGGTCATAGCTTAGATATTGCTAAGTTACTTTCTTATAATTTATTTTTATTCATTACTTTGTATAATCAGTTACATTCTTATCTGCTGGTGTACATAAAACTACGTTATATTTTAAAAGTCTGCAGCGTTCTTGCTGTGTATCCTATAATCCATTCTTTGCTAACAAATTATTGTGGTGGCTTCTCAGTAAGCAGATATGCAGTTTGTTTGCTTTTCTGTCTTTTATATGTTATAATGAGTTTGCAGGCATTTTCAGAGATTATGGGGGGAAGAGGTAAGTAGGTTTTGCAGTGAGAAGACCTACGTGGTTTTATCAGTGCTCTACAATATGAAAGCAGAAAGTAG